AAGGAAACTTATGAAGATGCGTGGTTGACATAGTGACATAGTGTATTTTCGTCAGCATGTGGGCCATCATCAATATCAGCACAAGCCCCAACCAGCCTGTCAACCGACCGACTGACCGACCCACCAACACCGCTGAGTACAGTACAGCTGCCACCGCTACCACCACTATCCATACTACTGCTGCAACAACAACTGCTACCACCACCTTTGTGTATAAGTCTTTGTGATCGCTTCGCCTGCGCAGGAGGGTCAACTAAACTCAAGAAACCTGTGAGAAATAGATAACAATAAAGCCAATTGATACCTAGGTGTTGCCGCTTTGGATCAGATACAAAAGAACAAAAGCACAATCGAAACCTTGCCTCAGGCGCTCTCACGCACCTTTTTGCCACCTTGGATGTCCCGGCCTTGATGACCATCCAAATCTTTCTATTGAAGCTGGGGAAGGCCTTCTCACCAGACGTTCCGACCCTGATGCCGCAAAGCCGAAGTGAAAACAGTTTTACTTTGCATATGTTTGTGTTGTGATTTTGGAGCTATCAAACACAACTATATACATATATAAATATACATGCGAATGTACATGTAGTTCGTCTAATCTCTCCCGCCTCCATCCCTTTCCAGAGCAAAGAACCTGGTAGGACAGCAATCAACATGACCTTCAAAGTCGGAGTCGCCTGTGAGAATGATTTTTGGGATCATGAAGTCATCACTCATACCTGAATAAATTCCTTCCACACTGTTGGTTTCTTGGCTTTGATCCGCACATTCCCGCAGGGTGGCACACACATGAGGCGTTTGTATGTGTTTGCCACAAGTCTCAGGGGACTCGTTGATCTGAGGCCACCCCAGCAGATTGAAGCCTTGGAGGCCCTGAAGTCCATGGAGCCCCATAGCTTACAGATGCGCTTGGAGGATTTGGAGGTGGGGCAACAAACAAATCGGGCCCCACAAAATGCAATCCCTTGAGTCAGTTCAGATTGTTCTGCTTGCCGCGGTTGAGCGGTGAATCAGTTTTGCTGCTTCTATATTCAAGTGAAGGTGCTGCTTGTGCTGGTCACAACAGGTTCCAGGTATTTTTGCATCATGGTGGTGAGTGGTGGTGACTGCTTCACCAGTGTCAAGAACAATCAAGAACACACCCTCTCACCAGCAGTGACAAAGCACCACAACCACAAAAACACAAGTCAAAAACACCACCTGGTGAGTGGTAGGAACTTGCCACTTGCCACTGATGAGCACTTGCTGCCTCAACTTCTCAACATCAGTGGCACTTCACCAGCTGTAGGACACTTGTCACTGCGCCTGCGGAAATCCTTGCATTTTGTCACTGACAGTCACTGATCCAACACTTGACCAGCAGGTTCTACCCTGATTTCGGCATGACAAGGTCATAATGCATAGACTTCTTTCGTTAAGCCGCCTCCTTTATATCTGTCGTGCAGTCCACTTCCCAAATCTATAGGCATTGTGCAGTCCAACTGCTGTCACATCAGGTCTGGCGTAGTGCTGCTGGTACCATCATCTTCCATGCATACGCGTGCTGTAAGGCTAGCGGCCCAACGGTAGGACATCTGAACGTCGTCGACGGTCTGTTTGAGTCAAATCAGTTGAGCTAGAAACAAGTGCCACGCTAGTAGTAACAGGTGCCTTACTAGTAGTAACAAGTAGTTTTCTATTAAGTTCAATTTAGTTTAGCTTTAATTCTAGTAGCGAACATTGTTACTACTAGTGTGGCACTTGTTACTAGTAGCTTTGAGTCAATATGCTATTTCTATATACTATTCTGATGTTGACCATTTCTCATATGTCTCCCTTAACAACTTCTCAACTTCTCAGTCTCGCGGCAGCTTTCAGGTTGAAGTGCCATTGCCTGGCTTGCCGGTTTCAGGCCACGGCCTTCGAATCACCATCGCTGCGATGCAGCTGGCGAGCATGGATGCACTTCAGCACCATGACAGCACTGGGCTCACAATCCATCACATGACATAGAAGCACTTCTTTTCCGACATTCACGGAGAGACCGCCCCTCAGAACAAGAATCTTCACATTTGGGGGGTTGTTTTTTATATACCAGCATGTGCAACCAAGGATGGGGACACCGGGAATCGCAATGATGACATGTTTAACTAAATGTGGAACTGGTGCGTTGATCACTCAATTCAGCTATATATATATATATACGTCAATTGAAATTAGGTAGGGTCAGTTATACAATTTATGCCTTCTCTAGCACACCATACAGAAAATTGCAGGTCTGCGGTCTGCGTGAGGCAATTTCAACAGATAATGCTTTGTTAGATGCTTCGGCTGGGCAGCTTGCGAACGCAAGGTCGTTTGCCGCATCTATGCGGCGAATGGCCTCCGGGCGTTCTGAGAGCAGTGGCCAATGAGTTTTAGTCAATGTATGTCAATGTGTATTCTGGCAATTGTCGCATGCATTCCGAAAACAAGGATCGACAGCAGCCTGTGTGGGCACAGTGTCCCTATAGCAAGTATAGAGTAAACAATTTGGGCACTGCCACCTACAGCGGCGGTTCGAAGAACCTAAACAGGATACTACATGGTAGAGCGAGCCAAGGCAGAAGTCATACATGTTCCATGTGCGGGCAGTTGTGAATTCCAAGGACTAGGTTCTTTTCCTGCCTTTTGTTGGAGCGTGGTTTTTGTCAGTTGGCAGATGGTAGGACAACAGTGAGTTAGTCCTGGCGGCACTAAGGTGACAACATTACAGTGACTCAGGCCATTGAATTGACCTGCCCTCAGAAACCAGTCCCATTCAAGTGTTTGCTTCCCTGGAGCCAAAGCACACGGACAATGAGATCAGAATTAGAATGCGTTGATTCCTCTTAGACATGTAGCAGTGTGATTTTGTTTGCCTTGTCTACCCTCAAAACAGTGTGAAGATAAGATCCGTGTTTAACCTTGCCTAGCTTTGGCAGCAAGTCTTTGGCCGCCTTCGCGCATATATTGAGGGACCGTGCTGAGGCTGCGCATCATGCACGCGCATGCACCCAGTTGGGATCCTGAGAACGCGGAGCCTTTCAGAAACTCCACCCGATTTGGCAGAGGAGTTGCCAGAAGAATTGAGTGTTCAAAACAACAACATTCATCAAGATTCCGCTTCTTGATGGAGGCCATCGCTAATCCCTTCCACCTATAAAGAAACACAGCCCCCCTTATTTAAAAACTCGGGTGCATTTTTTAGAATAAGGGGTCCCTGAAATCCGGAAGGTCCAAAATAGGGTCAGTGGCAAGATCCTTGAATGATTTTTGTAGGATTGGGGCAAGAGGATATCTACCTGCCCAGTGCCAGACAGCCAGACAGTCTGCCAGACATCAGAAACAAGAGGCGGACAGGCAGCGGAGGGACAGCCAGACTACCCCAAAAATCGACCATGTTGGTAGTTCAGTAGCAGTTTGAGAGGGCGACAATTAAAAACAAATATAAATCGCATTTCGGACAAGAGTTTGTTTAATTGGGGGTGTTTTTCATAGGTACTCGGAAATATTAGGTTGGAGGCCATGGCAACTAGGTTGAAGGCCATCGCAACTAGGTTGGAGGCCATTGCTACTAGGTTGGCGGCCATCGGAGGCCTCTGCTATTAGGTTGGAGGCCAGCTAGTAATGTCAAGACCTGATTAATAAACCGCCTCCCACACATGGTAGGTCAACAAGGTCGAGGTCCACCTCCCTTGAATAATGCGTTATGAAACCATAGGACAATGAAGGATGAAACCAGGCTTTGAGGGGATGAGCTGATGAGCATGAGGCCAAAGTCCATTTAGGAAGCAATGAGTTCATAGGAACCAAGATATGAGAGGAATTGGCTGGTAACATTTGGGCTCATAATAGGTATGAGCTGGTGAGCAGGTGAGGTAGGGGGACACAGGATCAAATTAATAGGGGGCAGTAGTGCAGATTATTGATGGGGGACCGGCCCTTGTGAGGGGTACCCTTTGTGAACTTGTCAAATTATTGCATGTTTTATAAGGCAACTTATAGGCCCTGAGCCCTAGACAGCTTTTGGGATTTCATCAACATGTAGTAGGTGGTAGTTGGTGGTGGTGGTGGTCGTTGTAGTAGTTGTTGTAGCAGCAGCAGCAGTATCTAGCAGTTGCAGCAGTAGGAGTAGTAGGTACCCAACCAGGCCATTAGCGTGATGAATAATCCACCAATACGACTTTTAATTTTGGCAATTTCCGGTCGCTTTGTGGGCCCGCATAAACTAAGGGAGGTTTATTGATCGTGACCCTACATTAGGTTGGAAATTCTTCAATCCAGATGCTGCTTGCTCCCAAGAACCGGCCATTCTTCAGGCCTAAATCTGGAGACAAGCAACTGGGTGTCGTCCAAGCTGGACCGGAAATTGAGGCATCCGAGATGCTGTGATTTCATCAGTTTTCACGACTGCTGTATGCAACGTTCTTCATTTTTGATGATAATTACTGTTGTGGCATTCAACCAACTGCATCAGAGTGGCCTGCGCTGAAAGAAACGCTGTTGGCTCCATTTCGGAAACAAACTCATGACAAGAATTGTGTGGCATATACCAGGTTTTTACGAGAATGCAGTGGACATTTTGATCCGCATGCTTGCGTGAATATGCGTGAATTGCCTTGGCAATTCTCTGCACAGGTATCAGCTTGAGGACCCGCCAATCAGCTCAGAAGATCCATCGATCTCGGTGAAAACCCCCGTGTTGTCGGTCCAAAAAAGGGGGTTTCTATGGGTAGCGATGCATCGTGAGTTCAACTTTGGTTTTGCTGTCACGGAGCCTGTGCAAAAACACAGGATACTGTTTGTCGCACAATGTTCCATTTGGCAACAGGGCACCTTCTGGAATGCGCTCAGCCATGGCTGATTCAAAGTATTGCAATAAGAGCCTCAACAGTGCAATGCCATACAATATGCTACTATCATGTTTGCATGTTCAGGCCGTACCACACCCATCCACACCCACTCTTCCAAGGCTAAGCGTGATCAGCGGCACTTTGCCCATGTGGGCAGTAACGCTTCCCAAAGCTTGTCCGTTCTTATTCAGCCTTGGTCTTGGAGACTTTGAGCATTGAAAAGGCATCACTGACAGAAAATTGACTCTAGAATCATAGAACACGCTGAGGCCAAGTCACAGGGCACGGTAAAAGTTCAGATGCGTGGAAATCCATTGTGAGTGAATGTTCTAGTTTTCTACCTTGAGTTGATTGCAAGCATAGTTGGACGGGTATAGGTTTGATTCGGTGAGTGAGAGATGCCTATATAGGTGACACAACTGGAATCGGCACCAGGAATTGGTCTCAGCAAAGCACCCAGGCTTGAAGACACGCAAGATGTTGATGAAGTACACTGCATTTGGGCCATCTTTTGCGGTTCATTGGACACAGGACTGTCGAATTCGGCGGTTCATCGCCCTCCCGATGTTTCGCTTCTCGAGTGTTTTTTTTGTGTGTGTGTTTGGCGTATTTGGCGCATCCATTTGTTTCTTCTCGCGACATCTGGAAAATGGTGGGAAATTGAAGTGTCCACTAATTAATCTACTCACATCATCTCACATCTATATATACTCATATTGCATTTGGAAGAGCCATGACTTTGGGGAAGCACACGGCTTTGGTGTATTTGCTTGCCTCCTCGCATGCAGGAACACAAAGTCGGCTCCTTCTTGAAGCGCCGGGCAACAGTGCAGACGGAATTAAATGTGGCTGGTCCCAAATCTGTGGAACTGTCAGACCTTTTCACATCCCAAGGCGTGTCCAGAAACACCGACGGCCACCAAGGCTCAAACAGATCCACGGAAAATGCAGGAGCTCTCGCAGGAGCTGCCGGGAGCACAGCCAGATTCAGATAGATCCATCATGATCCATCCGATACAGGTTTGTGGGTCAATCAGTTCATCTAATTGTGAATCACCAGTGAATAATACTATTTATGGGAATCTTGGGCCAACCATGTGGGATGATTGAATCATGAGATCTGGGCATGCAATTCATTTGTCAAGCAGCTCACTTATTGGCTTCGAACGTCAGAAGTCTTGCCAAAGTTGGGGACATCATGTCAGCTTTAGTTTCCATGACTTTTTGCGTCCGTTCGGGCCGTTGGGGTGCAGAATTTGCGCGTAGAATTTGGAATTTAGCTCGAGCACTCACGTGTCTCAGAGACTGGGTATGCACATTCACATGCCCTTTACTGGTACTCATTGTTAGTTTTATGTTGTTTCACTGTTGCTCACAGGGCCGAACAATGAGATGAACAAGCACAGTTGATCTAGCACATGCGAGGGAGCAAGAACAAGCCATGCTAAGCCGTGCTAAGCCAATAAAAGGAGAGAGAGAGAGAGAGAACGAAGACTATCTTCCACTGAGGTCCAACATCGAGGAGCATGTGGTCCGGTTTGATGCCTAGACTAGACGAGTCGGCGGACCGCACCGCTGCGGTGTTCGATTCGGCGGACCGCACTCTCCAGAGGTCTAACTTTTGGCTCGGCACTCTCCAGAGCACTTTGGCCGGGAGGCTCCAGTGGATTGAGGTCCACCAAAGGTGGGAGGACCTGACAAATGTTTACTGGATCGTCGACATGTCAGGGACACTGTGGATTTGGCCTTGAAAAAACTGTGCATGTTTGTTTTCTCCATTCTTGGCTCCTACTTTCACCATTTTTCATCCCATTGTTCGGCATACATCGGTGATGGCGCCTGAGTCTCCAAGTTGGTAGGAACTCAAGACACCAGTACCTGGTTGCAAACATGCCGAAGAGGCACTTACTTGCCCTTAGGTGCGTTTGCAAAAGGGCGAGGAGTTCCTCCGACAAGCAGATGTGGCCATGGGCTTTTTGGCTAACGTGTGAGGCCTCAGAAATTGGTGTTTATGTTAGTTGCTAGAAAGCCAGCACACACAAGCATTGGCAGGATTCTCCGAAACACATCCAAGATCACCCAAGACCTGACGAAGAATAAGACGGTTGTGCTATTCACATTTGCGTGCTGCAGCACAATTTGGGGAAGACCCTTTAAAATTTTGGAAGCAAGTGCGTTATATGTGCGTAATATAGATATGATATGTTATCAATCTTCCTTGACATCAAAAGGTGCAGTGATTGATCCAGTACCAGATAAGGCCAGTAAGTTGATGGAGGTCCAGTTTGAGGGCGAAACAGGCTTTGGCATTGCTGTGACTCAGTCCTTCTATGCAACTCGGTTGCACGACAGGTGGCAGCAGAAAATCTTGGCAATGCTCGGGCTTTTGTTAGATTGCTTTAGTATGCTTTAGTTGTATCATTGAGATTCATTTGGTTACGCAAGATTTCATGCTGCTTCCAGATGACTCTGCGTATGCTGCATACGGTGTCACATTTCACTTTCATGGACCCGTTCGCACCTCACTCAAGCGTCCGTGAGCCTCCCTGAAAGCAATGACATGAGGTCGAAGTGGCACAAGCCTTGCAGGAGCGTAGCATTAACAGTGCCATGCCTATGTGGGTGCCACCCTCAGGGAAGATGGTTTTGGATGGTTTTGGTCTGAACCAGTGACTAGTGGCAAATAGCCAACCAGGTTGGCATGACAATCACGGAATCGGAGCCCGCGGTACGAAGCTGGTGAATCTGAACGAATCTGATGTGCACAACCTGGTCGTCATGCTGTTTTTGCTCGCATATCATACCAGGTCGAAGACAATGATTCCAGTGCTGGACAGCAACATTTGCAGTGAGCTCAAGTACTTGACCTCATGAAGTGGGCTTGGTATTTAAGACCGGCCTAGAGCCGGTCAGTGCAAGGTTTGTTGAACTCCCGAAATTTACCTGCAAGCGAGTCCTGTTTGGGTGGGTGTATGGCACAAGAATCGAGGATGTGCACCACTTCAGGCAGTTTTAGGGGCGTGTGTTTGTTTGTTTGTTTACCTCCTTGCAGCCGAGGTTGTGTCGAAAAGGTCTTCTATTGAAGCCGTTGCCTCCTGGGTGATACTCCCAGGAAAGCTTCCAAAAGTCAAAACAGCTTAATTGAGAAAAGTGTAGACACGCACATCAGGTGAGGTAAATATCACTTTGCCTTAGCTCCTACTATCTAGCAGCTCACAATTGCTTTTGGTTGCTTTTGCCATGTTCATGTGGCGCTATTGGTCTTCGCGTGGCGACCGGAACACTTCGGGTCCTCCCGTGCACCGACCTTTAAGGCCCTTACGTGACCGGGTCGTACATCGATTCCGCTTCTTGGGCAGGCTGCCAGCTCCCTAGACAGACAAGAGAGATGGAGGGTTGTCGAAGCCACACATGTCGACCAGCAGCTTAAAATTTGCTGTGAATCCTTGTTCACATTGTTCACATCCTTCCACCATTTGTTTAAACCATACTTCGATGAATTCGGTTCCGTGATTGGCTGCTAAGGATGGGACAGGCCTTGCCGGATACCCAGACAATCACACTGATGAAGCTCTTTTAGTGATTGAAATTGAAACTGGCGAGTGTGGTGACAATTCGGTTTGTCAACAGTCCAGGGATGGGGGATTCAAGAGTTTTTTTTGCCACGTCCGTCCTGCGATGTTCTACGGTATATTGTTTCCAAGTGCGGAGAAAGACACGCACTGCTTCACGAACTGATAGACTTGCCGAACCCAAGGCGAGAAGGCTTCATCGTTCCGTTGCCCTTGGCGGATGATTTCTTTGCGCTGCTTCTGGAAGAGCCGTCGGAGACTCGAAGCAATCGCCGTCACTTCGCTGTCCACGACTTTCGTTTTGCCCGATCCCCCCCTCTCTAATTCAGTAAGTAAGGCGACTAGTTCGCTACTACTAATTCGTGCGCTGTTACTACCTACTGGACGCAGGATAGCTCACGCTCGCTCGCACTAATGACTTGGTTCCTAGATGTTTAGGGAAACTTAAGTTATGTTATGCTGTGTCAATGATGATCAAAGCAGTACGCATGGACGCACTCATGGTACCGAAATAAAATGACCGCGGGCACGTTGTCGAAGTTTCCAATAAAGACTTGAGGCAAGCGAATGCATTCCGAAACAAACAAATAGAAATTGATCGAACTGAGAGCCATTCCACGGACCTTGATAACTTTTGCGCCATGCCAGGCTTGGGCCTAGCAGCCTCCCAAAGCCAGGGCACGGAGTTGCCGGAGAGCAAGGATGCTCAGTCATTCTTCACGAGATAGTGGTCCGTGCACCGGAAGGTACGTTTGCTTCTTGCGGTGGGTCCGAATCCAAACGTTTTGAGTCGAATGTAAGCAATGGCTTGCAGGAAAATAAGCGGTAACGGTAAAGCTGGATAGCAATAAAGACGTTGTGAACCTCCTCCTGCCTTACATAGTCTCATACAGCCTCTTCTTCCTTTGCAGAGACCCAAAGGCTACACAAGGTTAAAACATGTTAAAATGTTAAAACAAAAACAAATTATACGAGTACTATTATATAACTATTAATGAAGGAGATGGAGTCCCACAGTGTATCATGTATTCATCGCCCACCTTGGTTTCCTGCTGTTTCCTGAAGGTCATTTTTTTGTGAGCTTTTCCTGGTGTCAGGTTGCTGGGCGCTTTGTCCGACTTCCTGGATGATTTGGCGCTCAACGAGGCACAGCAACGAGAGGCTGGACAAAGCGAGGAGGAGATTCAGGCCTGGCGCCAGGCGCAAGTCCGGAATCTCAGCCATTGACGGAGATGCCGTTGATCCAGGGCAGCCAGCGTTCCGTGGATCTCAACCATGGAGTTCCCTGAGATGAGATGTAAAGAATTGTAGAGATGTCAGACGAACAAGAACGATGATGCAACCTCCACAAGTTATGGGTAGATAATAGACCTTCAATTCGGTAACCAGAGATGTCCATCCCGAGGCCGAGCGTACGGATTTCGCAGAACGATTCTTGGCACCGGCGGACGGACAAGATGATCGGCCTAAGCAGTTGGGTCCCAGAAGTTCTGACCAGTCAGGTGAGAAAACATGAAAAAGCACGAATCCGATAGGGCTATGAACCAGAGAATGCCCGGAAAACAGAGACCGAACGAATGCAAGTTGCTGTGGCTAATCGGCCAAAATAGGAGCATCATAAGGAAAAGATGCTACCAGCATCTTCCAGTGTCATGAACATGCGACCGAGGCCAATGTCCTTCAACGAATATACTCGTCTAGTTGGCCTGTGCTTCTTAGAGACTGGCTTGAGCTTGAAGCTGAGAACGGACCACAGGCAAGGTGTGCATATTGAGGGGCTACACAAACATGAGTCTTTTACAAGCACAACTTCAAGACTCTCAAGTTAGCAAACTATTAGGATCATAATCAGAAGAACCCCAAGGTGCACCTTGCAGCTGCATGATGCTCATGTTTACGGCCACTACTTGCAGTGTCATGCTTTTGTGTGATCATTTTTGCAATTCTACACCAAGGCGGTGCCGAGCTGTGCCCTGATGGCGATAGCAAAGCGGTGACATTTGACAATGCCCAGCTGCCTAGTAAGTTAGCATGAGCAGATTCTTCAATCACAGGGTAGACTGAAGTCAGAGAAGAATGAGGAGAGTGCAGTGGCTAGCGGCTAGCATATCCATTTGCGCAGAAGCCTTCAGGTTGCTCGCTTTGTGGAAGAGGCTGGCGTTGGCCTCGCATTTATATTATAGAGGTGGTGAACATCCAGCACCCAAGACAATAATAACCCCTCGCTGATTTGTTGATGTGTGGATATGTGTGGTATATACCTTGCAGTATTGGTTAGTTCATGTTTGTTCATAGTGTTGAAGGCCGTGCATTGGTTGGCAATGTCGGCAGAACAAGCACGGCAGAGTTGACAGGCTGCGCAGTTCTGGTTCAACACTGGAGTTCGAGAACAGGTCGGCACATGTGAGTCCGCAAGGAGTTCCAGAAGTCGGCACCTGTGTCGGGAAGTGCTCCACGAGCCCCACTTGGCTTACTTGGCCCTACCGAGCCCGCCGTGAGCCCGAAGGTTTTGTTAATTTGTGTTGGAGTTTGTTTTGTTGCTGTTTTCGTTAAATCATTGACCCAGCTTTGACTGGCACACGTTGGAAATTGCATGATTTTTTCGCCTTTCAATCCAATGGCAGGTTGATTCCTTCCGCGCCGGATTGAATGATGTCTTCCCCTTTAACTCCTTGCAGGCCTGTCCAAAACCTTGGGCAACATGGGTTTCAGTTACAAGACAAAAGCAGGTCGTTGTGCAGTAGAGCAACTGTTGGTTCACCATTTTGGCACCTTGTCACACTGAGACTGAGTGTCCAGGTCCACCAAAGGCCACACACCAGACATTCAGAAAATGGTAACTCTCGAAAGTGTACTAAGTTTACTACTTTTTGTTTCTTGCTTGTCAAAGGCATCGGCCTGGCTTGTTGACAGCACGATGGTGTTAGAAGCCACGCGACAATTAAGCAGATGGTCAGATAGCGTGCAGATGTAGCCTTCTACAACCTACTACAGTTTTGATAGTTTTGCAGAGCCTTGCCAGGCAACACCGCATCGAAAATAGTAAAATTAAAGCAGTAGTGTTGGAGTAGGTTGTTGGATGTTGTTTGAGATCATCATGGACTCACTGGAGCTTTTAGAGATGATTCTGGAGCATCCAACCCTGCACCAGCGAGGCCTTTACCAAAACTGAGCTTCGGGAGATGTTCTGCACGAGCCTCAACTGCAGCACGCCGCTGGTGCATTGGACCAATGCAAGGTACGACAAGGAGACGCTGTCACAACATGCCACGACAACTGTTGCAACACGAGAAAGAGAAAAGAAACAGATTCTGGTGAGTTACGACTCGCTGAGAGAGACCGAGAGTTCACATTGACCGAGACTCACAACCGAATTGCTTCGCCGAGGTGGCGAAGATCAAATCGATTGGGACGAGCAAGCGCTGTGCTGCTGGCATTGCACAGGGATCACCCTCCGGGAAGCAATTTGTGGTCACATGAATACACTCCCCGGAACTAGCATGGAAGATCATGGAAGTGGAAAATGGTCCCTTGGAAGATCATGCTCCTCTACAATCAGGGGGTTTTCATTCGTTTTCCACTCTAGGTGAATTCTGGGGAATGTCAAGTCAGACTCTTTCTTTCCAAGACTGGGCACCTTGCCAGGCTAAATCACATTCATCCTACTGGTGGTTTGACCGACAAGTCACCGGCCTACAAATTCCTGGTCGTCGGAAGCTGAATCGTCCAAAGCACCAGGACAGTCTTTGCTTTCCAGTTGGAGCGCATCGCTACTAGTAGCTTTTAATTACTAGTAGTAATGATAGTAATGCCAGGAGACTAGCCTCTTGCTACAGTAGCGATGCACCTTGTTACTAAATGTTACTAATAGCTTCTTGTTACTCGTAGCAAATTAGCTACTAATAGTTACTAGTAGCGATGCCCTTTGTTACCAGTGCAACAGGTCACAACAAAGATTTGCTCGTTTGAAAATGCGGAACTCGTGGGACATGTTTCATTAAATTGCTTCTTCGTTGCCCAGCTTTGCTCGACAACGAGGCTGTCCTTTTAGAGTTGGGTCAGGCTGAAAGGTTGGAAACCTAGTGGCCGGACGCATCTTGCTTTGTGCGGTCTCCAGCTGATTTCTGATTAGATATGAATTCCAATCAACACCCATCTAAGCTATCAACCTTTATACTGTATGTTTGTTGGCTTATGACTGGCAGCTTGCATTCTGTTGGACGAGTTTACCTGGCCTGCCTTTGTTCATCCCTTGCACTGCAATCAATGTCCTTCTCTCCAGACCCCCAACGCTTCCCAAGTCTCATCGTGTTTTGATGGAGTTCATCTCATTGGCGCCGAGTTCACTGAGTTCACTCCACTCGGGTCGAGTGGAGCATTGTTGGCTCTGAGGTCTCGGTTCCTGGATTTTGTTTCTTCGTGTCCTCGGCTGCCTCCAGGAGAGATGGGCATCGGGGCACGAGGGGAGCAGGGTGTTTACCCGAGAAGACGACTTTTGATCCAACTGGTTCAAGAATTGGGCCACTCGACACAAGACGATGCGTAAGCAGGACAGGGGGCGGAGTTCTTACGCCCTCCAGTCTTGCCTAACATGTCTGGTTCCTTTTGGGATCGCTACTGGGCAAAAGGTTCCCAGAAAGCCCCAGCAAACGGCGAAACCAGCAGTTGGCCCATCTGGCGGCATCGCAGGTGGCATCGCCAAGTTCCATGTCGATGTCTTCCCTGATACCAGCGTCATCAACTTGGGCATCCGTAGGTTTTCTTCAGCATTGCTGTGGAGAACCTGAGAGAGCCTGAGAGAGAGAGAGATGCACACAGAGAGACACCGTGTACAAGAAGAATTTTCGAAGGGGGTATGTGCAATTGATCGACGCCTCCTCTCAAAATTGCTTGCAGGCATCCAGACAAGCCTTTCCACGATCCCGTGCTTGCGCGAATCAGTCAGAGCCCTTCCTGGAACAAATCGTTGCTGCACTTGCAAATGATTGTGCTCACGCTACTGGACACTTGTTGCATAAGGTTCTTTTTGAAAGTTGTTGGGCCATGATGCTGGGCACACTGGTGAGGCTCTACTTGCCTCCGTATACCTCCAAAGAGGAACTGCAGGTGGGGACCCTTTTGCCGTGTGGTTGACTGGAAATTGAGCTGTGCATTTGTCCACATGTTCCACCAGAGTTTTAACGTTAGCCGACAAGTTGATCAACAATTCGGGATCACTAGTCACAATTTAATGCCAACAGACTCCAGCTGCTCTCTCGGAAAGGCCAAGTTGCATGAGGCTATGCATAGCTCTGCCGTGCACTTGGCGAGGAAGTGATGTGGTTGTTTTGGATGAGTTTGCTATATTTTGCTGTGTGATTCTTTTTGTTTTGTCAGAGTGTTGCAGGACATACTACTTTGTTACGAACTCTAGTCTTTATACGCCCACCATCCCAAAATGCCCGCGGCCTGTGCCTAGGCCGGCCATCACGAGCAGCGAGTGAGGGATCAGTAGCACATGAAGGTAGGCTACAGGACCGTGAGCGCATGCCAATCATGTTGATTCAGAGCATATTCCTTGTATAAGCCACCCTCGCAAATGTGTCGCTCCAAGATGATGCTGCTTGGAGCAAAACTCTATCAAATAAAACCCGAACATTGAAGCAAACTGTCCTAAGTTTACATGCTCCTTGGAGCAGTTCTAGTAGTTACTGTATAGACAGGCATTTCAACAAGGCTGTGATGTGGATAGCACTCCGCAGAGAACGCACACAAGCCGTATTTTGTGCATTAAATCTGAGAGTCTATTCTATGCAGGTTCTATGTGTTAGCACGAGTCAATGTTTAAAGCCAGATCCTAGCTTCATACTTGTAAGATCGTTTGTGTTTCAATAATTTCAATGCTGTGGGCTGAGCAAACTATGAGTTTTCGCATTGCACGCGCGAAAGCAGTTTGTGGGCAGCAGGACTCAGACGTTCTGAGTAGAGGTCCCGGTCCGAAGCCACATCTCCACGGCAGAGAGGGCGGCAGACCGTTCAACAGAAAGATATACATATACTGTGTATATATATGTTATATATGTATATATACACATGGTATACATAGCAGCAGAGGCTGGAAACGGCACGTACTTGATTGGATGTTTTCCCAGTTTATTGCCCCTCCCCGGGCAATAGTACCAAATTCAGTGCCCTTGCATCCAGCCAATGAGTTTGTACCGGGTCGGTGTTTACTGGGCGTGAAATCCTATTCTGGGCTTTCAGAACGAAGCTCTCCTTGACCAATCACTCCAACAAGCCAACATTATAAAGATGCAATTGAATTGCACCGTCCGCTCTTTGCATAGGTGGCGCTTAGCTTGAATTCTTAGGTTTTCCATTGAAAACAGGGATTCAACCTCCTTCCTGGGACTGCTTGAAGTTTGTTCCTTTGCGTTTTGATCAAAGGCTAGATCCATCCGCTGAGCCGTTTTGTGACAAGGTGAGGGAGGAGGTTGAATGCAAAGACATCAGCGTCAATGCACGGAGCCGATCATCTTGCCACCAGCGCCCTATCGTTTCGTGGGGCACTGGCGTGGATGCATCCCACGTGTGCAGGCAATCATTGCCAGTCAGTGCCATGTTGCGCCTAATTAGCCTGAACCATCCTAAACTTTAAAACCAAATGCCAGCAGCATGGATGCTAAGAGAAGATAGAAGTGGACAGCGTTCCAGAGAGGCCTCAAGGGAGAAGTCCAGCCTAGCCTCGCATGCCCGGCGTGCGTCAAAGCGCAAGCAAAGGGCATACTATTCTCAGCTTAGACACTTGCTTTGAAGACTCAGGCCAAGAAACAGCGAAACCATGTTTATTTAAAAGAGACTTGGACACGCATACTCGCACTTGCACAGCTTGTGGTAGTGAGGGAAATCACGTGACCTGACTTGAGCTAGACAACAGTCATGAAAGCTTTGGAGTCAAGAGCGATCAAGAGCGGCCCAAAAGCCTTTGGAGCAAGATTCAGCGGACTTGGAAGAGTTTGATTTCGCAGCTGCCCGCTCCTGTAAATCAACCAGAGACAAGAAAGCTGCCAGTACTCATGAACAGTTCCCCAGAACACCAGAAGTATCACTCTTTTGAAGCACAAACTTTTAAGGCTGCATGCAATATATGATAATATATGCGGTAGTTGTGGCTCATGACCTCAAGTCATCGCAACTCCTTTCACTTTTGATCCTCGCCACAGCATGGCGGAGATGCCAGCTGGTTCTGTCAGTGTGTTGGAGTCGGTCTTCCGCGGACCAGTTACGAGAGGAAGCGCCTGCTTAGATTTACAAGAACGACCTCAAAATTGGATGATTTTGAAGGTGACAGATGTTTTCAATCAAATCCAAACCGGTCATGCCCGACGTGGTGCCAATGAAGAAGCTGTTTGTGCTAGCTGCTATTGATTGCTATTGCATTCATTTGTTGCCGGGCCAGCAGTGCTGTGCGAGACAGTCGTGGAGCTGCACCAGCATCACGGGAAGCGTGCAAAAAGAGCACCAGCAGGGAATCCGAATCTTATTCGATTCTTCACTGGTGCCGGACGCGAGGGCATCCACGCAAGCACGGCCGCACGGGTTTGATTGAAGCTCTCCCAATGTTAGTTGCGCACGGTGTCGCAGACATGTCGGCTCAATACAGCTCGATGGCCCACCACAGCTCTAGCTGACTCAACTGAAATAGTTTTGGTGAAGAAACTTGCACCAGAACAAGAATGCTGAATTTAGAATGCTCAAGCTGAAGTACCTTTGCCGAATCATGAACATACCGCAATTCACTACTGCAGATCATCATGGAAGGCGCGGGGCACCCTGGGGCACCCTTGCAGGAACAGCTCAAAACTTGGTTTGTGTTATGATGTGTTATGTATGGGGTAGGTTTGAGGTCATGCCAGCTCCATCCTGCTAGATGGGTGGCAGTCGGAAGCAAATCGCAGTTGTTGAGCGCTAGGCTGTTCCACAGTTGCACGATTGAGAGGTGACAAAGGCATAGCCAGAAGCCCAACGTGGGGGAGCCAGTGCAAGCTAGCACAAGACTGTCAGACACTATCAACATGTGAGTGGGAGCGGCCCTGTGGAATGAGGCTGGAGGAGTTTTTGGAGGACTTCTTCCAGACTGCCGTTGACCTTGCAAGAAGAAACATTGCATCAGCAGATTTCTCAGATTGTGATTAATCCAACGCTTTTGCTCTACACGCGAGGACGTCAGCCAGTTGAAGCCTCAGCCATTTTTGCGGACAACTCATTCATGAGTAAAATTTGGTAAATGTTTGACGTGCATAGGCTGCAGAGCACTGGCAGAATATGTTCCAATCGATGATTTGCAATCCTCAAACCAGCCAGAGGGCTGATCCAGATCTATGTTTGCTGTTTGCGGTTCCTTTCTCATACCTTCAACACTGCGGAGCCTCTATCCGTATTTTTCCACAACAAAGGTCTTCCAGCAGTCAGCCTTCTTTGGGTTCTCATAGGTGCCGTGTTGTCGAATCTTGAAGAGGTCAAGGAGAAAAAGGATAAATGAGACCGGTTCGAGTGAAGCCAGAGCCAGGTCACCGCATCCCGAACTTCAAAATGGAGGAAGATGGAACGAAGTTTTAGCACAAAAGTTCATGCATGCTGCAAATACCAATTATGGGCCATGAAGTGCTACATTGAGACGCCCCTTTGAGAGAACTCATGCAAGACAGGGACGGGGTCAGTGGCGGTGTACTAGATCCAGTACTCCAGCAAATTTTGCAGCATTGTTGGAAGTAACGCGAACAGATCCCTGTTTTGGTCACCGTTGTGAGAATATATATAGTCTACTATAGTCAAATTAGCTGGATATGGGACAGCGTAGTGTTGTGTTGGGCTGAATGAAGCTTGGCATTGGACATTCTGCAAAACACTATAGTTAGGAAAACAATAGGCAACTGGCAACTGTATAAAAATAGAACAAAAAGCTCAAAAAGTAGAAAGACACATAGGACCTGCTTTTGGTTTCATTATTGGTCCTATTGTTTTCCTGTTTATTTTCGAGATTGTTGCTGAATTTTCAATTTGCAGTGTGAACGGCCAATTGTGCAAATTTATATAGATAAACTACTACAGTGAACAAGTACAAAAACATTAAAACACAAACAAAAACTATAGGAAATTCGGAAAAACACACGTTTACACACGTCCTTTTTTGGCTTTTGTTTCCAGTTTGTTTCCTAATTTTGATGCTATTTATGTGCTATTGGTGTACTAATTGTTGTTGTTTTTAATCCCACCCAGCGGAAGCTTAACTCCCTCAACGTCAAGCTAGTGCGCCCCCATTCAAGCGAAGACCGGCTTCAGTTTTCCGTGGATGCAAACAAGCACGGGTGTTTGCTGGATCGCTACTGTTGCGCAACGGGCCAGGACCCCCGTCAGCACGAAACACTCAAGATATTGGCGGCGTGGACACTTCGCTGCCACCGATACTTGGATTGTCAAGTGTTTTTTTTCAATATATTTGTTGTTCGACACAAACGATTTCAGCTAGTGACTTAGTGTGACTTGTGACATGCTGGCGTTTGGGAAGAGTTTTCTTGGTCAGGATCAGTTGTTTGTTTCTACAATGCTGGGATTCTGAATGAGGGTGCGTCACGTAGATCATATCATATCATGCCATATCATATCATCAAGTCAAGTGACGTGTTGATGAAAGAGACATGCTAGACTAGAATGTCGTGGCGAACCAGGGTTCAGCTTTGCCAGGGCTGCATGTGCTTGCAACATCTTGCAACCTTGCTTGCCTCAGGTTGAGAAATGGACGCCAGAAATGCAAAAAGAAACATACTGTATAACAACATACCGTACAAATGAATGTAGTGGCAGCACCAATTGCACTTAGAGCAAGTCGGCTTGCATCATTACTAGATTAAGCAACTCCAGGCAAAGAAGTGGAGGAGAGTCGCCCCAAGTGGTCTTAATCCAGTGCTATGTCCCACCCGCGTGGCATCGCACGCCTGCTGGCACTTTGCGGTTTCTGCGGTTTCTGTGCGCATGTTGCCCCCGCCAACGTTGCTCCATGGCTTCGAGCGCCCCGGAGTTTAGACGAGGCACGTGGCTTTCAGCGCACTGCCAAAATGAGTCGACCAGAGCCTGTGGGGCCTCGATTCGGGCCTGTGGCTCCACGAAATGAGACAGCGCAGAGCATCAAGAGCAAGGAATTGGACTTGGAATTGGAATACTCACCAATGCGCCAGTCTTTCAACGAGCGACTCCGAAGCATTGCTCCCTACCCGGATGTTATTCGACAAGTGGAAGACAACTTTCATGGAAAAGGCGGGCTGCAACGGTCCTATCACGCTGCCAAAATTCCCAAGAAAGCCGTCACGCCAACGGCGCTGGACCAGAAGGCCAACCAACTAGCATCTTCGAGAACCACGCTCTTTGCAAAGGTACCTTTGTTACATTCCGACAAGTGGCCCAAGCCAGATCCTTCCTACCCTGAGGTCGCTGTCATTGGGCGCTCCAATGTTGGGAAATCATCCTTGCTCAACAGGATTTCGTCCTTCGGTACAGTTGCCAAAGTGTCATCTATGCCAGGGCAGACCAAGCAAGCGGCCTGGTACCGAAATCGAAAAGTGCGGATCGACTTCATTGACATGCCAGGTTATGGCCACTCAGATCGTGCTAGGGTCTTTGGCCCGGAAGCTTTGGAGTTCGTTCGAAACCGCACTTCGCTCAAGGGGTTGTATGTGTTGATTGATGCCAGGCACGGTTTCAAGTGGTCAGACCATGAGTGGTTGTCCGAGTTGGGATCTTCGGGTCCTATGAAGCAGGTCATTCTCACCAAGTGTGACATGGTCCCAAAGAAAAGATTGATACAAATCGCATCGTTGGCACGTTCCGACCTAGAGGGCTACAAAAGGGTGGAGAGAAAGATTCTGCTTTGCTCTTCGGCCTGGCAGAGTGGCTTTCATGACCTTCGGAAAGATGTTTGTCAACGCTGTGGCCTCCTTGCAAGAGACCAAGAGAAAGAGGTCGTTGGGGCACGAAAGGATTTACCAATGAGGGCTGTGAGAGGCCAAGATTTAGGTATTTTGAGCTGAGCAGCGCGAAGGCAGATGAAAAGGGATGCGGTCATGGCCACGGGAGGGGATGGGACATTCAACATATTCAATGTGAGCCCGTAGCCTCCCGCCTCAGCTCCCAGTCTCGCGAATGGTGTTTATGGTTTCTTGTTCTGAATCACCTACAGTAAATTCAAGCGATCTAATACTATTCATGAATCCGACGGAGCTGTGTTGGTCGAAGTGCGTTGATTGAGTGCATCGTTAGTTTCGGCATTTGTGAGCATCTATGGTGAACTGTTGAGCAAGTTGAGCCTCGTACTTATTTTCAGCTTGTAACAGTGTATATTATGAACCTGAGGCCGCTTGAGTCAGCTGGGCCATTGCAGAGGTTACTTGGATTTTTGAAGCGATTAGAAGTTCTGTTCTCGGAGTAGCTTCGCCCACTCCTCATGCATTCATGCATACTGCTTCCATTTGCCACCAGAAAGAAGACAAATGCATACCAATGCTTTGATATATTATATCCTATATATATAATTGTTTTGTTTTAGCGCACTGTGTCACAATGTAGAACATGTAGGACTTGGACAAAGTGGCCATTTTCCATGTCAACGTGAATGACAGAAGGGTATATTGGGGCTTTCGAAGTGTAAGATACCAATGAGGACATATGAGGACCTGAAGAAAGGGACTGCTGTGCATGTGCAATCGAATCGTAGTTGTGATGTTCTATTTAGGCTCAACAGTGGTGTAAAATGAAACTGCATTTGTCATGTTCACTCCCCAGACTTTCCATCAATTGCCTACCATTTCCTCTCTGGCTTCTTCAGGTCCGATGCGGGGCTTGAAGGAGAGCGGGAACATCTCTGTGCACCGCGGCTTTTGTCCAACCGCGCAGTTTGGTCTTAGTTTGGGAACTTTGGGTTGGAGACAGAACCGCACATTCCAAAGCAAAGCAAACACTGGTGTATTCTGGAGTTTGCAAGGCGTTTGTTTGACTTTCATTTGTGCATCCAGTGAGCCATTTTGACAGACTTGACTCAATATTGTACAAGCTATATAAGAGCGGATAGAGCCTAGAGCCGACTAAGGGACTGCAAACTGCCTCACCGCTTGACTTGTTTGACCTGGAAATTACAGAAGTTCATAAATGAAGCTAGTTCGTCCACCACAAGCAGCACCCCCATCCAGCAAACTGCAACCCCACGAAGCTTGGGAATTTCGTTGTGTCAGTGTAGTGTTGTGTTCATATCCAGCTTTTGCAGCTTCAGTACAGCTTCCAGCATCAGTGTGCTTGTTGTGGCATATGGAACTGGTCAACACTAGCAATGTTATTTGCTATCCTTTGCCGGCGACTTAGCGAACAGATTAGAATAGCATGTCGTTGCTGGCAAGCAATGTCACCAGCTCCCGCCAGTACTTAACGAGCAGACACAATCCAGCCAACGCATATCCATTTACATCCATTTACATTCTCGTGTGGTGGTGGGTTTGCTAAATGTAAGAAGAACCACCCAACCCATCCTTTTTCGCAGTGGTAGGCAATTGATAGTTCAATTGCCCGGCAGGAATCCAAGTGTCAACGCGCAATGCCACCGCAAAGAAGAATCAAGGACATCGATGGCTATCGCTGTGGTTTCGAAACATTGACAATTATGTAATCTAGTCAAAGACCCCAAGCTTTGATTTGCATGCTGTGAGAGCCAGATGTGCGCCCGCTGCATTTGGCTTTCCAGAGGTCAACATGGGAGCAGCCAGTGTGGCCGTTTAACTCAACATAAACTCCACAATGAACAACTGCAGCCTGTTGAATCAAAAGAATAGTTCAGCTACAGTGGGGGCAACTGCAGCCCTAGGGCGCACTATGGTGCACTGAACATCGCTATCACCAGTCCGTCGCGCACTTGGGAGAATGGAATGGATGCAAGTCTACTTAATTCTCCTTAAGACAGGACAGTTTTTTGTCCAAGAATGTCCAAACTCGCAGTGCCTTTACCGCAATGACTGCATGATAAGAAGCTGATGACGATGTTTGCATCGCATGACGCTTGGATTCACAAGGTGCAAACACTCAGAAGTTCCTAGGAATTTGGTCCCAGTCGGATTAAACACATCATATATATATAATTCTTGTCTCAGGTTGCGTTGAATCTTGTAAAGACCGAAGCCACTGTTTGAGAGTTTCGCAGAACTGGGAAGGTAGGATGGGCATGCTCACATTAAGCTTAAAAGGTGTATGATTCAGCCCCCTATTATTGTTGATGTTTAAAGAGGTCATTTCATTCGCATGGTGACCATGGTGTGTCCTTTTATTGTCTATGTTGGTCCAAGGAATGGCTGGCAAACGGACTGGCAGCAAACAGTCAGGGCAACTATCGAAGATTCACGTCCTTTGAGTTGGAGGGCTCGCAGGCGGCTAAGCCATGCCCAAACTGCACAAGAATGAGAACATATGAGATCGCTTGAACTCAATTGTGCCTATTGTGCACATGTAGGTAGATAGATATATACATATTTGTGTGTGCGCTGCTAATTCAATGAGTGAGTAGGTTAGATAGGTCAGTGGCTCTTGTACATGGGTATTTGCTGCTTTGGGGTTTGATGCCAACCGATGACGCAATCACTAGGGCAACACATGCAAATGGCTTTTGCAAGTGATAGGTTGTGAGGGCGCCAAGCAGTGGCTCAAGCAATAACTAGGAGTGGCTCAAGCAGATTTCGGCCACATCATGGCATCCTTTGAGTGGCCCAATCCGCCACAGCCAAAGCCGAGCTCCAGGGTGGTTGAGAAGCAAAAGGGGACGAGGCCTTGTTGGTCCCTACGAGGCCATCCGCTGGTGGAATCGCCAATTGTTCCAGATCATGGAGGAGTTCGAGCCGGTATCCAAGCCAATGAGTTCCTGGAAGATCAAGGTCCTTTTCGATTTGTTGGATCAGTACTACACTACATCCCCTGAATCCACAACAACAATCACAGTGAAGAAGGGATTTACAACCTGCGCATCCTTGAGAAGTGCAAGAGCATGGGAGTGGCGGATCCCTTTCCCACAATGAAATCTGGCCAAAATCGAAACTCGCCAATTGGACGGGCTCACATCGCAGCCTCCATCGCGCCTCCATCGCAGCAAGTGATGCTGGCGCGCATGGACCGAGTTCAAAAGCTCAGTCGGAGACGGTGGCTTTTATGGAAGAACACCTCGCTGAAGAGGAGCGGGCCTACCCGAAGATCTTGGACTCCTGCAGCCTCTCGCAGGGAGAAGAAGGAGCTCTAGTCAACAAGATCTTGCCGAGCTTGGGATTGGACGGCGACAAGCGGTTTTTGGCTCCAATCATGAATTGCATGGCAGAGAGGGAGGGCAAGGAAGGGATGCTCCAGTGGTATGAGTCGCACGTCATTCCTCAACAACTGCTGGGTGAATTATTTTCAGGAGAAGCAGTTGAAAGTACTTGAAGCCTTGAAGCAAGATGAGCACTTTGCACCGCAAGACCAAACTTTCAACCTATGCAGCGTGATGTGAGGCAGCGCCCTTTGCCATGTTTTAAATACAGTATCATGAGTTACCGTCCTTTTTGTCCTTTTCATCTCTGCTTGATCTTGGCGAATTGGCCAAGAGGATTCAAGAGGATTGAGATTTGTGGTTTGCAGAAAAAAGTGGAAGCAGACGCGCACTCTCCAGTCTCACCCGTTAGCAGAGTGGCAGAACACGGTCTAACGACAACGAGTTACCGCCAAAACCTGCGATGACCAATTCAGTAAACGGCGTCGTGAATTTCAGGAATTTGGCTGATGACATGCAAAAGCCATAGGTCCCCCTCAACAGCGATGACCTGGTTGAATCACGTCCTTTTCCTTAACAAGATGTTTTAGCAGACGCTCCACAGAGAGAGAGGGAGAGAGAGAGAGAGAAGCACTGATGTTGCTGCGGAAGAGTCCAGATTTGAGCTGACATTTGGCCGGCATTTTCTTGTCGAAACTCCAACGCATCAACAAGCTGCTTTTGCAAAGACTTCAGACTTCGGAGCAACCCTTGGATAGGATGAAGTATGTATATATTGTAAGGGCTCCGCCCCCTGCCGCCGACCCCGGGGATCTATATTTCAGCCGTGAAGCTGGAAAACAGGACAGAAGTCCGCCTATACGCAACGCAATAGATCAATTCAATTGTTCTTTTATATATAAAAGGAGATTCCCCCCATTGAGGTGTGAGTTAAAAACATTTGGGTCTTAACATGTCATGTACAGGTGGTTGATGGTGATTGTATTGTCAGTGTTGCAAGCTGTGCCAAGCTCTTTTCAGCGCGTTCGCTCAAAGTCCATCATCCTAAGCTGGACTCGGCCACACCATCACACAGGAATCATTGTATTGGACATTCAGCAGTGTTTGAAAAATTTCAGTGTGGAGCTTGTTGGTAAAAGGGCGCAAGCCGCCTAACCAGCTTCAAAATCAAGGACAAACATCCTTGTCCATCCAACGAATCCCTTAGATCAGCCTCACCACTGCTCCCTGAGCAAGATCTAGATCAGACTTCAAAAAATAGAGCGGCTTGCCTTCGATAAAGACACGGAGCCACGGTACACGACACTTTTCTCTCACCTCCCACGGGTCCTCTGGCTGGTACACAAGAAGCCGTTCTCTCACCTCCCACGGGTCCTCTGGCCACGGGTCCTCTGGCTGGTGCACAAGAAGCCGTTCTCTCACCTCCCACGGGTCCTCTGGCTGGTAGACACCTGTTCCGAGTGATTTTCTCCGCCACAGCTTTCCACAATCTAATTCGAGACCAAAAATCGCCCGAAAGAGGTCCTCCGCGTACGCCCCCAGAATGTCTAACGTTGCTTTCGGAACCCGTACAACAAGTCTGTGAAGCAGCGTCGCGCACGCCCTTCCTTCCGCTTTCGACCCGTCAACGTTGCTTTCGGAACCCGTAATATAAGTCTGTGAAGCTCGGAAGCCTCGAAAAAGCTGTTCTCTCACCTCCCACGGGTCACAAGAAGCCGTTCTCTCACCTCCCACGGGTCCTCTGGCCACGGGTCCTCAGACTGGTGCACACGAAGCCGTTCTCTCACCTCCCACGGGTCTATAGACACCTGTTCCGAGTGATTTTCTCCGCCACAGCTTTCCACAATCTAATTCGAGACCAAAAATCGCCCGAAAGAGGTCCTCCGCGTACGCCCCCAGAATGTCTAACGTTGCTTTCGGAACCCGTAAAAAAAGTCTGTGAAGCAGCGTCGAGCACGCCCTGTCTTCGCTTCAAGCCGCCGGCTGTCACGGAAACGCCTCGGAAGCATCTTCCGCTTTCGACCCTTCAGCCACGCTTCAAGCCGCCGGCTGTCACGGAAACGCCTCGGAAGCATCGAAAAAGCCGTTCTCTCACCTCTCACGGGTCCTCTGGCTGGTACACAAGAAGCCGTTCTCTCACCTCCCACGGGTCCTCTGGCCACGGGTCCTCTGGCTGGTGCACAAGAAGCCGTTCTCTCACCTCCCACGGGTCCTCTGGCTGGTAGACACCTGTTCCGAGTGATTTCCTCCGCCACAGCTTTCCACAATCTATTTCGAGACCAAAAATCGCCCGAAGGTGCGCTTCCCGGTACGCCCCCAGAATCTCTAACGTCGCTTTCGGACCCCGTAAAGCAAGTCTGTGAAGCAGCGTCGCGCACGCCCTGTCTTCCGCTGTCGGACCTTCAGCAACGCTTCAAGCTGTCAGACCTTCCGCAACGCTTCCAGCATGCCCTCGGTTGCCTCCTCTGGCGCGCGCCCCCTTCAACCGGCGGGGTCGGCGGATATATATAACTAAATATAAGCGTCTAGTCTGACATACTATTGATACACTCTCTTGATGGAACGCGCTGGAAAGGTGGAGCAGTTGGAAAACCAGCTGCGGGCCAAAGATGGCGTTGCCAAGAAGCCCGGCAGCGGAGGAGAAGGTGAGGTACGTGTTGGTGGCAGGGTCATGATCAGAACGAATTTTATAACTTGTTGACAACACAAATGCATACAAGTACATAATAAGACAGATCAACATGCGATGGATTTCTTGCGGGCAAAGCACTTGGGAACCTTTTCGCGAATGGCGGCTCGGCGAACCTAGGTCTTTGAAATGCTACCGCGCATGTTTGGTTCAAGGATGTTCAAGGTAATTTTGGGCCCTTCCTACTCCTACTGTGTGTTTCACATCGCAGACAGGATTTGGTGAGAGCAGAATCGCGGAGATGGTCAGATCCTGCTGAGACCAGCGGACAGGTTTCTATCCCTGCCAGGAATGACTCATGGCATTTTGAAGCGTCGTGCAGGAATGACACAGGCGTGTGGTGAAGTGGAATTCGGGTTACCCAAGAAGCATAGAGATTCCAGAGATGCTTACCAGAAGTGGAAGGCCAAACATACATTGATTCACTTCGACTCCAGGACAACCAGAGAATTGGGCTGGCTCGAGAGAATGTCACAATCAGTCCTTGCAGAACGGTTCTTATCACAGAGACTGCACTTAGCGGTTGGCGCCAGCAGACCCAGATGACGAAGGGGTGGAAGCGAAGATAGAGACGTGGTGGGCGCTGTGAGATAAACAGGGTTCATCACAAGATGGACCAGGATAAGCTGGCGGAAGCAATTGACTGAGGCCAAAGAAAGTGAAGCAAAGCCTTGCACAGTTTGTGACACCCGAAAGTCACACTGCTCCTGTGACCATGCCGCTACTTGAGCTAGTGTCCGTGTTGCTGAACGAGCACCGACGACATGTTCACTGTCGTCGACAGAAGGATTCTTATCTCATGATAGTGCAGACTTGCGCGGACAACAATGGAGGTGTACTCTCCCGCTCACTAATATGGACGTGGAAAGCCCCGGATCGTAGAGCAGTATGGAGGTCCCAGTCCCAGGGCCTATTTTCCACATTCATGTTGGTGGGTCAGAGTGTACTTGGGAAGCTGTGTTAAACTGTTACCTAAGTGAGGTGCCTGGGCCACCTGAGGAGTACTGTAGCTTTCACTCGCAGGCAGCTGCAGGCTGCGCATTGATGTCCTCCTGCCTCGTGCCGAATGCATCTCATCAAAGCCTTTGATTACTACACCCTGCCCAGAGAAAGACGGACGGACGGACCGACAGACAGACAGACAGTTGGATAGCACCCCACCGGAGCTATTATATGACTCCTTTGGCTTCAAAGTCCAAAACTTCAAGACAAATTACGCTGGTACATTTGCATGTGGCAGGCCCAACCGGCAGCCTGGCTGGGGCCGTGGGAGGTGAAGAAGGAGCTCAGCACGCAGGTGATGGCCGTGCTGGTGCAGGTGAAAAGGCGCAAGATGACTTGCTGAACAACGTGAGAAACTCAGTGGTGACGCTTGCCAGTCAGGGTAGGCCACATGATCCAACATACATTCTGTCCTAATGATAACTTGAATGCTTCCTGCTTGGAAAGATTGCCGCTATATGCCCCCTACATTGAAGACTCATCCCTTTTTAAAAGAATCGACCAGTGGTTGTCCAATTGTATAACTATATATATAGGGGGGACTATGACCTTTCTCGTGTAGGCAGTTCCTCAGGGCACAACGCACAGAAGAGAGAGAGGGTCAAAAAGGACGCACAGACTCGACTGACGTGAACACCTTTTGCAAAATTGTATGAGTTCTTTGGAACAAGACACGTGCTTTTGGATACTACTAGGGTGTGGGCCATCGCGCTGCTAGGGTGGAGGCCATCGCTACTAGGTTGGAGGCCATTGCTATGAGGCTTCACTTTATTGGCGTTACTCCAACGCTGTGGTTTTTCTTTGAGCATGCTCCAAGGCCTTGGGTGGTTCAATGGCTGGCAGCTTGGCACTGGGCGCCATGAAGTCCATGGGAGGACTGGTTCGGATGCGATTTGTTGTTGGGCAGCTCAAAGCTTTTGCGTTTCCAACCGGCAGCAGGTGATTTTGTTTGTAATGGTATACTGGTGCATGCTTCTGACATTTTCTGACTCTGTATCGGGGATGATCTGAATCAGTCGGTTCAGTTTAGAGTTTGTTTTTGCAATCCCACATTGGCGATGTGGCCAGGAGGGCTACTGCAACCTAAGTCTGGAGCGGCCGCAGGCGGATCTGGCACCGCTGCGAAAGCCAGCGAAGAAGGCACCACTCAAGCAGAACTTGGAGCACAGCTGACAGGAGAAGGCCAGACGGAGAGTATGTAGAAAGGCTCATGGTTTATGATGCTTTGAGTTTCAACAGTTTTTGCCAGGGGCTAGCTGATGTGAGTGTCCTGTGTGTGTTTGAATGGAAATGGAATTCAGAAAGATGTCTCGGTAAAGTTCATGTTTTGGCTCGTGGTTGAAGGCGAAGATGTGCCCACGGTAGCAGATGTGGCACAGCAAGAGGAAATGGACCAGCAAGAAGCAGAGGAAGGTGAAGGTCCTCGGTGGGAACACCGAGAAGTGACGGTTGCGAAAGATTGGACTTGGGATTGTTTGGACTATAATATTTAATTTGTGAAACTGGGAGTAATGCATGGTACTCAGGCATCAAGAACAAAGGGTGGCATCATTCTGCGTCCTGTTTGACACCGTGTTTGCCTGAACATTCATTCATCAAATTTGTTTCTGCAAGATAGACTGCAGTTCCAGACTCGGAATCTATCATTTTATTGTGTCATTTGTTGGCTAGTTCTTTCCTTGGCAGAGTTTGGTTTCTAAGTTTCTACCATGTATTTTTGCTGGCTGAGAGGTCCACCGGAGGGTGATATAGCCGAGAAGATGGGGAAGGCCAGCGCTGATGGAGTGTAGAAATCGATACTGTGAAGTTTCATGAAACCCGTCATGTACCAGCAGCCAGGCACCAGATGTGAACGTGGCAGACTTGTGCCTAGCTTGCGTGGAGGGAAGACAGCAATGTCATGATGTCAAAACATGTCAACGTGTGCCTTGCGCAAGCTAAGCAATGCGGGGTGCTTTGGATGGCAGCAATCGGTAGCATGTGCACCTGAGTTGGAGGTACAAGTATTATGCCAATCGGTTGGCCCGACGAGCTCGCCAAGCTGCCATTTTGGCAGACAACGCTGTGCAGGAGATCCATGGAGATCACGTCACGGTGGTGGCATAGTCTGAAAGAAATGCACCTCAACAGGATCCAACAGGAATAATAACTGGCGTTGTACTGGGAGGACATATCATATCAGACTGAGTCTGAGTGCGCTCAGTGGTTGTTCGGGAAATATATGGAAATATTACATCTTTGTCGTTTATTAGATATGATGCCTTTGAATGGAATTGAAATCAGACGACGAGCAAAGCTTTGCAGGAAGCATGGAAGCAGCAGCAACTCGCCCGCTTTTGGAGCCGGCAAGCACTGGAGGACGAGGCAGCGACGATGCGCCTTCTACCTGCGCCCAAGGCGGGAGCAGCTTATATTGGAGCTGTCAAGCTATCAGAAAGGAAGGAAGGAAGGAAGAATGAGCAGGCCGAAAAGCCAAAAAGACACAAACAATTGACATCAGATGATTGCTCTATTTTGTTTTCTTGCCTCCCCTATGTGGACATTATATATATATATTATGAAGTCGTATCATCCGGTGAATATACAACATTATACAACCCATGTAAGCTGTGACAGCAGAATAGACCGCTCAGCTTGGAAGTTCGTTCGTGCTCCGTTGCATCCAGGGCAGCGCCGAGCGGGACACGTCACTCGGCAGAGCTCGGTCGTTGGGTGGTGTATGAGTGGCGATTGTTTGCCGGGCAGGCTTGGCTGTACTTGTAGTCAACATGCTTAATCAAGAAAAGTCCAAACCACCAACCGAGAAGCATCAGAGTTGTCGTTTGGTTGAGCCATCTCTTTTGATGGGGTTCTACAACTGGGGCAGCCACGGGGAGCTGGTGCAAATGAAAGTGCAACTCTAATAGTCTAATAGCGCCCGATAGTCTACCTTTGCTTTGGAGTTGTTTTGTGGGCGGATGCTTTGCAATGCAACTCTTGGCGACCGAATGATCATGAATGACCAGGTGGCAGCTCCATGTTCCTCCTGGTTGGGAGTTGCCTCCCAGCCCGTTGGTGTCAACCCGTGATCCTCGGACCGTGACCATATATTCGGGCGCCATCTCAGAGACGACACTTGGCCTGCAATAGAGACGTTTCATCATAAATTTCAAGGAGTTTCAGTAAAGTACAGTAGGTAATTCTGTGAGCGCGAGACTAATGTAGATCATGGACACTGAGATTATACATATCATTTGTGGAACTATGTATATATATATATTATATATGTGTGTGTTATTATTGATTGAGATAAGCTACCACACATTTGCATTTGCTTGGCTTTTGTTTCCAATCGATTACTATTTCAGGCTGGCAGGGCTCGCTTTTCTGGCCCCAAGTCATCGACCGGCACGAGCAGCACCATTCCTGTGCCCTGTGCGTTGCCACCCAAGCCACTAAGCAGCTATCAAATGAGGCCACAAGCCTGTGGACAATCGAATCCACATTGAAGAGTAATTACGGTCCGTTATGGTCATGATTTACGAGATGCATGGCCCTATGGTTATAGAGACTGACGTTTGTAGTGGCAGCCTGGCAGGTTGTTTTATATCCACGAATGTTGCGGTGTTTTTGGCGGTGACCATGAGTGGACAATGCCAGCAAAGAAAACCATCCCAAAGTTTTGGTTGGTTGATGACTGGTTAGCTTCTCACCATCAAGTACCGGCCCTTGCAGACTTGCGGGAAGAGCGAAGATTGAAAAGCTGCAAAGTGCGCTTGAGCAGCTTCAAATTGCGTGCTTAGCTCACTTTGGCTGATGCTGCTACCAGCGCGCTTTGAAGGATAGAGTCCTGGAGGGTGACACACATAGACACATCGTACATAAGCATAAATATAAGCTTTATGTGTATGTCATGTACTTATGCTGCCATGGTTTGAGTGTCTTTTGCATTGGGCTCACAAACATCACATGGTGACACGACGGGCCTTTTTGAAGCAAACCATACGCTGTAATACACTGACTCAAAAAAATGTTCAGGGCATTCCGTTTAGCATAGTTGATTCCCTCAGCTTCCATGTGTCAGCTTCCAGGCTCAGAGATGTCATCCCCAACCAGGTCCACTGGATCGCAGGTGTCATCCACCGGATGCAAAAAACAAACTTGCACAAGGGGCCGCAAGAGGATTCAGCATTTTGCATACACACATTTGAAAGCCAATTGGATACGTTGCATAATGTTGTTGCTGATCTGCTGCCACCTGTCCTGGTTGCACACTGCGGTCCTTTTCGCTTGCACTGTTGGGTATGTGTTCCTACAATGTAGCCGGCATCCACTAATTAGGCCACAAGGCTTCTCGACAGAAGGCGCCAGGGTCAGCCTTCCATGTGTGCGAGTTTCTCATGGCAGGTGCCTGTGCTGAATGCCGTGGAAGCTGAGGAAAACAGCTGGTCAGGGACGCATCCTGAATTTGATCTAACTCTTCATCCAGGCATATCCAGACCTGATTGAATGGTTGCTTCATTGAAGGGCCTTCACCCTAGCATTCCACTTTATCTCACTGACCCAGTGACCCGGTGAGGTCGGATCCATGCCTTCTCAACGACCGTGTGGGTATCCAGTGCTCGCTTAGTGTCACTGCAGGAATCTGTAGGACAAGGGTTGTAAGATGTTGTAAGCAAAATGCATACGCATGCAGACACGTCGATACAGTACCTGACTTGGCACAGAGGCAGCAAGACTGTCATCGGCAAACAAAGGATGCAAATGTTATCAAGTTTTTATGAAGACAGTTTTCAAAGGGGTTGCACCCTAAATTGAGCCATAAGGATAGGCTGCCGGCTTCATGGTTTAGCATCTCGAGCTGCCAGATTTGTCTACGACTATCGTCAACTTGGCTGAAGAGTTTCGGCGTGTGAGTTTCGGCCACCATGAGCTGGGAGCTTGGCCAGTGTGCAGCAACCTGCCCGCGTCAAGAAGCAATATCAAACGATCCTGATCCATCCTGATCCTAACAACAGTTTGTTGGCGTTTTTGGTAAATATATTGCACTGTCGGAACGAAGAGTCGAGGGCATCATCACCAAGCACTATCAATTGCAAAAGAGAAGCCAGGAGCGCAGCGATTTTGCAGAACTAACTATATAATGTGTTTGGAGTTTTTGCATATACGCCGGAGCTTCATTAGCAGCAGTGGAGTGGAGGCCTGCAGTTCCGCGACAACAGGCAGGTACTGTGCTGCTCATGTCAAGGTTCTTTCACGCAATGCTTTCTGAGACTGGCAGATCGGGATTTGCCAGACCATCAAGTGTTTTGCAACGTGTACGTTCCTCACTGCCATTCGAGTGCTGCTCAAATTTGTCCTATATTGTGTCGTGTCCCGGCGGTTTCTTCTCTCCACCGTGCAGGAAGAACCCAAGGCCGTCGGATGCTCAGAGGCTCACAGACCGAGAGATAGCTGGGTCAGCATCGGCACATCAGTCCTACCACCGATCCACTGAGCATATTTTGGGAGATCAATGGATATCATGAAGTGCTTGCGATGGCCTCCAGCCTCCACCCTACTAGCGATGGCCTCCAACCTAGTGGCAATCTTATTCCTGTAGATGTAAGAATTTGAGGAGTTGGGTAGTGCTCCAGTAAAGCAGATGAGTGCTGCCTTGGAAGACTGCCTCGAGAATTTTTTCTCCAAATGCTACAGGCTAGGTATGGCTAGGTAATGTAGGGTAACGTGACAAGTTCCCTGCGCTCGAGGTCAATTCAGAGCCAGGGTCAAACCAATGCAGGGCCTCTCAGTTGACAAGCCTGGTTGACTGGGCGAGGAGTTTGTCGTTGCAACACTTGCACGCATGCATTTGCAATATTGTGATGTTTAGTGATGAAGACTCAGCGAAGACCTGTGAGAACCACCCCAGACTCCGGAGTCACCTTTTGCATTGCATGACAATGTGCGTGTACAGCGTGGACTCTTGTCGTCTCTTCATTCGCCAGGTGATTCTGCGGAGGGCTCAAAAGCGGCGCCGCATTCTCAAGTACTTCCAAAGGGTGAATTAACAATTACCCAGATGGGAACTGGTTGAGCAACTGCTTGTGCGCTTGGTGTCGCCATATTAACAGGGTACAATATGCACGGGCCAGAGTTGAGGTCCCTCCGGACCAGTTCGCCATTCTTGGGTGAGCCAGTTGCGCGAAAGGACAAGGCGATGATGTTCATGGTGATTGCGTCCCATGAACTTAAACTAGTCACTTGAGGCTTGGTTTGGTTCAGAATTTGATTGGTGAACTAACTAAGAAGAAGCAAAAAAAGTGCACCAACCTATCCAGTTTCCCAGAATGTGAGGATGACAAGGAAAAGATAAGTCAGAGCGGAGATGGGCAGATCCTTGAACTGACCTGTTCATTGCAGCTACGGCTGATGTAGGATGCTCCGCTCCGCGTGCAGTCATGGCCCTTCTGGGGACCCAGCCATGGCGGCCATGGAGCTCCTGTGCCAAACGCCTTCGTTTCGCCATGCTCGCAACGCTCGTGCTGGGATCGATGACCATGGTCAAACGTCATGGAACTCGTCCTTGCCTTGTGGCGGAGATGTCCAAGGACAAGCTGAACACAGATCGACACCCATGAAGCACGTCCAAATAGTTTCAACTGATTCACTTGGCTTTATCAAGTGCGAAGAGATGACTCATCATCCTGCCAAAGCTTCAACTAGGATTCTTTCCGTATATATATATATACCCGCGGACCGAAAGTTAGAATGCCGGCTTGGGGCGTCTGGGGGAAGATTTTCGGCCCTGGGGACCGGCTGATTTTGACATTCACACACGGCAAAATAACGTCGGACCGGCAGAATCACACAAAAAGCCCACTAATATCACAAAACTGCACAGATAGAATGCGGTGCTCACATATGCTGAACATGTTTAGCAGTTCAACAGTGGAACCTTTATGTTGTTCTTAGTTAGGCCAACATTGTTTTGACACTGAAGAAGTGGCAGTAAAGGAACATCAGATTTTGGCTAGCAACACACGCTGTATTCCCCGCGTCACCCGCTGGCCGCTGATTGAATGGTGAATGCCTGTTTGGCTTCAATGGGATAGGTGTGTGCAAGGCTGGTATGTGTATCATTTGGATCATGTGGGTTTACCATTTGTCTCATTGAGCATATCACATGTCCATGAGTCCATGACATGCCCAATGCGCGCACTGCCTGGTTCCTTTGTTGACAGATTTGCCAGCTTCGCGCCAGTGACCGCAATGGAGAGATTGAATAGTGAATTGCTCGCCCGAGGCTACTTGGGCTCCAAATGACTGACTGTTCCTTTCCTTTTGTTTTTATTCTAGCCAAACCTCCTGCATTCTAACTGCAAATAGCCTGCTCATTTGCGATGGACCAACAGGTCCTGGACACCATATGTTTTATTCTAGCCAAACCTCCTGCATTCTAACTGCAAATAGCCTCCTCATTTGCGATGAACCAACAGGTCCTGGACACCATACAGAACCACCATTGCCACCTCCTGCTCAACCTCCTGGATCGCCAGACCAGAGCGAACAAGAGGAAGAGGTTGAGGTCAGCACATCAGCGGCTTCATTGAGTTTGCCGCCAGGCGTGAAGGAAAACAAGAAGGAGTTCCTAAGCAGCTTACAATCATGTTTATACCTTTGTTTTGGTGGGAGGGGAGGTGGGTGCTCCTACAAAAAGGATTTTCCTGCTTTGCTTCTTTGGCCAACTGGTTGGCCATCCAAGAAAACCAAGGTTTGCTGTTGCTTTGGGCTCAGCGACACGCAAATTCGCCTTCAGCGCCTGTGGGGGACAAGCAGCAGCGAGAGCCGCTGCGATCAAATACCATGAGAAGGTTTCTGCCGTCCTCTTCCACTATGATATCAAACGTGGAAAGGACTGGGGGCGTGCAAATATGGCTTGTTTAAGGTCACTTCAAGTTATAGGTGTGATAGGCACCGGGACCCTGTTCAGGAACGCGATGCATGGCTGAAGGACTGTGGCATTCCTACACTCAAGGGCAGAACTGTCGAGAACAAGCGCTCGTTTCTGGCAGAGCTGTGTGCCAGGTCAGAGCTTCGTCAGAGACTCAGATGTCTATTGTGGCATCGCATTCTAACTTTCTTAGACAATGCATATACAGTGTATGATCATAATGTTTATATAACGTTTGCGTCTACGGTTGAAAGCCCATTGCAGCGACTCCTGTTTTTTCTCACGTTCATAAATGTGCTTTTAGCGCTCTATTTTTGGTGATTCCTTAAACTGTTCATTTTTCTGAACGGGACTTAAAATACCCGATTTCACCCAATCTTCATTGAGTTTCATTTAAGCAGCCATAAAACACATATGTGTCCAATAGAACCCTGAAACTTTCAATCCTTCCTTGAAAACCCCCTACAGAGTCTGCCTAGATTTCCCTGGTCGCATTCTAACTTTGTGGAGCATAGCTGTTTTCAGTCATGCTTCTTGGGCAGGATCTGTGGAAGAAGAGGTGGCCTCAGTTTCATCACCATCTCCACGTGGGAAAATCATGATTTCTGGGGAGCTTCAAGGCAAATGGTCTTTCGACGCCAGCTTTGATAGTGGTGATGAGACCATCACCAAGTCGTTCTCCTCATTGGCGCTTTCCGTGGGGTGGATTGTGCAAATGGAGACGTCACGCAGGGGTGGTCAGCTCAAGCAGGGGCTGAAAATTATGCAGAAGAAGAACCCAGGGGGTCAGGTTGTTGAGCTGTGAGCAGCAGAACTTTGTCGTTTTTCCAAAGCCTTCTCCAATATTGAATTCCTTATTATGCATTTTCCTTTAATATCCACCACAGCAACAACAACAACACATAGGCCCATAGCCGCTTTTGGCAGCATTCTATCTCTAAATCCTGAGGCTGGCGTAGTGGCTGAGCGTGATCTACGCTACCTTGGCGAGGATCGCATTGAACACTTGGCTGCTGATCCATGTGGACACGATTTGAAAAGCTCGCAGGATGTGACAAGCACAATCTTGATTCCCAAACGTGAGAAGTCACTCGGACCTTGTCTTGATAGTGCCACAGTTGCATTGCAAAAGGCGGCAGTGGCTGGTTTTCAGTGCTGGAATGCCCGCAACCCTGGGATAGTGGGGCTGCTTGTTGGCGTAAAGCAAAAGCAGGGTGGGCGCACGGCTTGTACCACGGTTGTTGTTGGGAAGCAGTGGAAAGAACTGCTTCAGGATCCCCAAGTTGCAAGCCTTTGTGAGCAAGAAAGTGCCTACTTGTGTGGTGTGATGCTTGGCGCTTCTTCCACTCAAGATGACACGAATCGTGCGTGTGGCCACGAACACCTCAGAGATTTGTGGAACTTGGGCCACTTGAAAGCTATTTGTGTCTTTGTAGCCTGGCCAAATTCTGGAACTGATTGTCGATGTGCATGGTGGCACCTCCTTATATAAAGGGTCAGAAAATACATAATTCATATACTGTATATGCCTGTGTGCACCTGGCATTCTAACTGTCAAACTTGTTCAGAGACAGCCTAGGTTCCCTGGTCTGATGATTTGAAGCATGTCTCCTGTGTGCAGCGGACCTTGGATGATCAAGACAGCCTGATGGCAGTTCAACCTTCCTGGACCACAGCAAAGGGACAACGTGTCGGGAACATCGTCTGGGTGGAGCGCTTATTTCAATCAAACAGGCAGCGTATCTATAAGGCTGTGGCTCAGAGGCTTGTCCAAAAAACCTCGGAGTTGATTGATGTGAAGACCCCAGAAAAGCCAGTGCGGTTCTTCATTATCCACGTTCCTGGTGATGGACGGTGTGGATGGAGGTCACTATTGGCTGCCAGCGATCCAGAAAGCTTTCTGAGGGTACCGAGGACCCCTGTTTGCAGCTGTTACATAGCTTGTGTTTCTGTGAAGCTATAGTGTTTCCTAAAAGGATAAGGAACCCACACATTCTAACTGCTGAGCCCTGGAAGGAACAACGCCCATTTCCCGTTGAACCCGCTCCAGAACGAGAGTGAAATCCGCCAATCCAAAGAGCTTTGCGCCGCCGTCTGCCACCCGCCAGATAGCACAATAACAGTCTATTTAGCTGTTTTATACATTTGATGTTCGACGCGTACGTATGTATATATAGATAGATAGCTATATATATATTTATTAATAGAGACTGGGCCTTTGTATGGGCAGTTTCTTTCTGAATCACCACAGGCGATTGGACGTGGGACAACCTACCATCCTGCCGGGAAAGCGTGCAACGAGTCCGATCTGATCCTTCCTTCCTTGTCAATGACTTGTGTTGGATCAGCCGTGCCCTTGGCATCACTGTGCGGTGCACTATGTCACAGCCTGTGTATGACATCGTCAGCCCCTGTCAGCCTGGCATAGAGAAGGACGCGCTTTATGGTGACCCATCCCAACCAGTATCAGCTCACCTGTGGTTTGATTGGGTAGAAGATGTTTCTGGAACACGAATGTTTGGTCATTTTGACCTGCTCCAACCCACATCAGACCCAAGCACAAGCGCTTGCGCTATGGAACTACCAAAAGATGCTCCTTTGACAAATTTGCCCACGATTTCTTGCCATGTGTTGCTTTCCTTTGGGATTGTTCTATGTATGTCATGTATCTAGTATATATCCAGTATGTGAATACATATGTGTCTCCAGTGCTGTGGCCCAGCAAGGCTGTTGTGGGAACAGCTCCTTGCAGCATGGATCTGATGGTTGAAGCTCAAGATCCAGCGTTGGCCCTAGAGAGCCTGAAGAACCATCTAAAGTAAGATTGCCGCACGTCGGTTTTGCAAACCTCCGCCAAAATATTTATGTGTATATACATGTGTATTCAGGGTTCTGTTGAACAGAGAGAGGCCAGGTATCAGAAGATAGAATGCCGCACCCCATAGGTTCTGAGGCCAGGTATGCAGGGCATGGTGGTTCATCTCTTCCAAAAGCTGACATTGAGGTCAAGCATTCACTCAGCCCGGACGTGGACGGAACAATGGCCATCATGCCTGCCAACAACCCCTCCAAGCGGAGAAAAACATGCCGAGCACCTAAGCAGCAGAGAACACCTCAAAAGCAATTGCTACTTCTAGAATTTTTCCCGTGGCTTCGAGGAATCTACCAACAACCCGAGGCCCGAGACTTGAAGGCATCCCCAGCCGACCAGGACCTCAACCCTTTCGAAACAGCGCCAGATGCAAACCAGTCCAAAATCACAG